TACATAAGATCAACGATTAAGGACCAATTAATTCATCATTCATGGATTATTATTATTATTATAAGCATTGCCTTTTCATATATGTTGGATTGGATGCTTGCTGCTTGACGGTTTTTGAGAATGCAGCTGGTGCCAAGTTCTGTTGTTCTCATTAAACTCTGTTAGCTTCGATTCTTAGGAAAGTCTCTGGAGGTTTTTTTTACATCAGGATTTGGGTTGTTTGTTCAACTCTTCCTGGCAAATTCTCTCCAACTTTAGGAAGCATCGATGAAACTCCATCTCCAATTCGCTCCACAGATGTTCTCTGTGTTCAAACATGAGCTTCGATCGTCTTCCCTCGATGCTTTAGTTCCCTTTAGATCCCAGTTTCAGACGTTACAGATTCTCTCGACTGACCTCTCTCCATTGTGCTGCATTTATCTTTCCTTCAGCCCTGACCAGTCGCCCACTCCCTGCGCCTCCACAGCATGATGCTACCACCACCGTGTTCCACTGATGGTATTAGCAGGTGGTGAGCGGCGCCTGGTGTTCACCAGACTTCGTGCTGGGATCTCTGCCCAAATAGTTTTGAACTCGTCAGATCAGCGCATTTTCTTTGGGCTCTCAGGCCTCGTCCACACGTAGCAGGGCGTCTCACAAAACAAAGAGATTTTTCTACACAAAACCGCAGATTTACGGCATTAGAAACGATTCTTTCGGGCCCCCGCTACAGCTCAACTGGTTGAGCTGGCGACCCATGTACTGGGGCTATAGTCCCCGATGCAGCGGTCGTGGGTTCGAATCCAGCCCGTGGCCATTTGCTGCAGGTCCTTCCCCCCATTCTTCTCCCCACTGTCCTGTCAAATAAAGGCAAAAAGGCCAAATGATTCTTTCAAAAACCTCCGACCACAGTGAAGATTTGCAAATCCTCCGTTTATGCCTGTGCATGTGGGCGTCAATAACCGGAGTTTTAGGTTTCGAAACATCACCGCCTGCAACAAAATATGTTCTTACATCACATGTGCGACCTGTGTTTACATCTGGAAACATCTGGACGCCCTCAGAACCGTGTCGTCTCTGGTCCAGGCCCAGATACCGCTCCACGTACAAGGACGACATTAAGGATTGTTATTTTCCGCCATCTTGCCATTCCACGTCCGAGGCTTGTTCTCCCTCAAAGACACCAACGCTGGTTTTGGGTCAGACCGGGACGCACTGCCAGCTGGTGGGAGAACTTTGAGACGGAAATCGTGCTCCTGGAGGAATGGCGTGATGATTTCCGTACATCACGGTCGTCGCTCTTGTCGTCGGAGTTCTTGCATCCTCACGTAGAACATGAACGTGCTTAAAAATGCACTAATGCGGTTCGGTGTGGATGATTCTTTTTACATAAACGAGGTGGTGTGTACGTTAGTGTTTTTCTAGACGGAGGGGGGCAGGATATTCGGTTCTACAAAAACCCTGCTACGTGTGGACAAGGCCTCAGTCCCTTTTAAATGACAAAATGCACTCGGGGTCCCCTGTAGCGACTCTACCGTCGATGCCCTCCTCGTCGAGTGCAAGATCATCCCTCCAGCATCTTCTCCAGCTCCGCAAAACACTTCTGAGGCTCTACCAAAATAAACGCTGGGTCCTCGGCCAACTCTACAAAGAATCCTGGTGAGTTCAGTTCTTGAGGTCACTGTGTTCCTGTTAACAGTCAAATCTTCAGAAATGGTTTTATTCCCTTACACGGATCTTTGCCTCCGTTTTATCCGAGAGGTCTATAGAGAGTCTGTCGGACGGACATGCACTGTCAATTGCGAGACTTTATATACACAGGTGTGTGCCTTTCCAAACTGTCTAATCCAATTTGCTACTCCAGTCAAGTTCCAGGCACATCTCAAGGATAATTAAAGCAAACAGAAAGCACCTGACCACGGCCCAGAGTGCCGCAAAGGGTCTGAATAATTTATTATTAATAAATATGCAAAACAAAAAAACCCCCCAAAAAACAAAAACGCAACATGTTTTCCCTTTTTCATTAGTCATGAATGTAGACTGATGGGCAAAAATGATAATTTTATCCAATTAAAAGCAGCGACAACACGTGCAAAAAGTCTGAAAACTGTCTGAATAACAACATTATATTCATTCCATCACTGAAACTTTTAGCGAAGGCCTAATGTTAGCGCCTGGCTCTGCAGCGTTTAAAGGATTGTCTACCTAAATCTTTATAATCACCGAACACACACATAGCTTACAATCTTTCTACACGCCACAGACGTTTGTCCTCGCCGCCTGCACTTATAAAACTAGATCCAAGGACAGAGGAATGCTTTTTCTGTGATTAAACCAGAGCCGTGATGGTCGGCGCAGTTAATTAAAAGGTCAGTCGTGCTCGTTTGAACCAATCCCGTTATTCCCTACGCTGAGGAAGAGGTGTTAGCAGTGGGACTGAGAGCAGTGCAGAAACCATCTGCCGCCACCAACACCGAAGGGTAAATGAAGTCTTCAAATATCACGCGCTCAGATTAAAGCTCTGTTTCTCCGTCTTTTCTCCTCGGACGAGCTTCTCGCGTCTTTGTCTTCACCGAGGCGCCGTCGTCCTTTCGTCCTCCGCATCTCGTCGGCGCTGACCAGAGGAAACGCTCGAGCGTTCCTCCGCGGCACGATCTCCGCGGTTGTCGTTCGAGGATTTAGTGACTATTTTTTTCTAATGTCTCGATACCATATTGTGAGAATTAGACATGGATTTATGTAATCTAGCGGAGTCATCTCTGTGAGGAAATAATTGCCGTCTTATCCTGTAGGCACAAGGCCAAGAGGATGCATGAAATGGAGACGCCAAGCAGACAAACTGCCTCCACTGAAAGAACAAACATCAGGTGTATGTGCACGGAGACGCTGCTCGGGCGCATGAGACAGTTGGTAGTAAATGGTTGGAAAATCAAATCTGGTCTGGCATGAGAGGCCGGCCTGAGGGTAAACATCAGGTTTGCTTTGTACGCTTGCTGCTTCACATTTTTATAAACTCCTACGTGGTTTGATGTTTTTAAATCTCAAGGCTCGGATTTATTCATCTTTTCTACCTTTTGGAGGCTCAGACGTCTTTATTGTCTCAATCTGTGAGAGGCGTTAACGGAGCTGTCGTCAAATCACGGCGGCGTTATTTCATCTGAAAGTATTAAAGGCCAGTTAGAGTCCGACACACACACACACAGCTAGAAGTAAAGTGCTAAGTGAGCAGAAATTAAAGTTGTTCCAAAATATTTTTAATGTCCTTATGAGCTGTGAACACTTGGCTTTGATTATGTGTCTGAGCTTCATTTCACTAAAAAAAAAAGGAAAAAACAAGTTGTGTTTCAGTAATTCAGAGTCTTTTTCCTACTCGTGTGGAGAACAGATCAGCCACAGAATAACTGTTGGAGGAAAGGTAGAATAATAATAGTCGTATTATCGTATCGTGTAGGCCGGTGTTTATTAATAAAGCGTTCTGCGTTTCAGCTTCACAATAAATTCTAAAATGCCACAAAACCGAACGAGAGACTTTAATCATCAAGAGTCATTTTATTTTCATATTCTAAAATGCAAAGGACATAACAGGATTTGAGAATAAATCCAAGGTTGAGTGCACAAAAATGTTTCACTGCAGGCGATTATGTACAAGAATGAAATCAAGATTCTTTTTTTTTCTCTTTCTTTTTTTACAGAATTCAACAGGTACTGCATCGATATTTAGAGTCAGGTTTTTGAACCTAATAACGTAGACAAGACTGGACTTCATTTGTACTGAAGATATCTTTTTTTTTTTTCCTTTTTTTTTTTTAAACACAGCACATTTAATTCATTTACATTTTAGCGAACTTTGTTTGCTGAATTAAAAGTTCACCGTTAGTGCATCACTGTTTGTTTTTCATACGTTTAAGATTAAAATCTCGTCGAGGTGACGCTCGGCGGCCTCACAAACAGGCCCGTTAGCAGAATTCAACAGACGTCCTCTGCGTCAGTTCATCTGTTTACCCAAACATGCTACCCAGAAATACATCGGCTAGCGATTACAATTTGATTGTACTATCATTGTTTAATTACCATTAGTGCCTCGTGGGAATATTAGGAATTAATGGTCATCTTTGAATTGTCTTGCCTGCAGCATGAAGACCAGTTGCCACAAAACATTATTGAGAACTTGTACAGGACTCTCTGCTCAGCGAGTTGTACAGAAACGTCAGTCTGGGTGTACATTATTAAGACAATAATCAGGGCTGGGTGGTACGGACACGTCCACATAAAGGTCACTGTGTCTTTTATGTTTTTTACAGTGTGCTGTGTACCCGCTTACCAGGTACGCATTTCTGCTCACAGCACGTCAGTGAAACAGCGACCGCTCTTAGGAAGGAAGTGTTCCAGGAATGTCCCTTTGTCGTGTTCACTTTCAGAAAAAAGACAACAAAACTGTCAGATGTTCATCTAACCAGGTAACACTCAGGGATAAGTGAACAATCCAGCCAAAGAACGATGAGCAGCAACAGAAGTGATGAAGAATATTTATACACTTTTAATCATCACAGTTAGCTCACCCAGCCCCGGCGTCACTTCGCCTCCCGGCGTCGGTCGGCCGAACGACGCTGCGTTTTTGCTGGAATTATGCCGCTACTGAATACAAGATACAAGGATGGATTTGAAAGCTATAATTCAGCTCAACACTATGCGTGCTATAGAAGAGAAGCCAAAAACACTTACTATCCGTTTTAAATAAAATCAAATATGGAACCGACCATTTCTCAGAACACAGATGGGTTTAAATACATGAGTTACACAATTCATTTTTTAATTCTTTTCTTTTTTTTTCCTCAATTCTTCAGCAGAGAATAACGAAAGTGCTCCGGTCAAACCTGTAAAAAAATAATTTATACACACCCCCGACGTACGACTGGAGGGGTTTGTCACAAAATCGTTGTCGACTGTTTTGCTTATTGGTGGTCCTCCCCCCAGTCACTCTGCTGCTCCTCCACCGCACCACGCATCGGCTGGATTAGTTGTCATTTGTTAAAAGGAAGGCAGGCGGGCAGTATGACGGTGGAACAGGCTGGGCCCGCCAAAGGCTCCGCCACCTCTCCCTCCAACTCTGTCCATGTTCCTTTTTCCGGGCTGTAGCAGATGGTCGAAGACTTATAGGCCCCCTGAGGAAAAAAAAAAAGAAAATGAAGTCATTCTCTTCGTTCCTCTTAGTGCTGTTTGGATTTCCAGGCGTGCTGCGGAGAGATTCGGCTTTATAAAAAATGCACGTCGTCCAAAAACAGCGAGCACAGTGAAGTAAATACTTGGTGTTGTGCCAAATACGTATTAATCTGCAGCTGGAAAGCACAGCCCATAAACAAATCCACCGTTTTTTTGTTTTTCCTGTTTGAGTTCTGAAAACTACAGATGTTTAGGAACATGTGCCACAGACAGGGGAAGCGATAAAGTGTCATAAAGATTATTTGTGTTGATGACAACAAATATATATAGACTATATTCAGTACCATGCTCCAGCTGTAGCCCCCCACGAGGAAGATACTGTCATCCAGAACAGCACAGCCTGGACCACTGCGACCCTCCAGGATGGGCGTCTGCAGGATGTTCCACTGGTCAGCTTTCGGGTCGTAGCACTCGACCAACATCACGTCTAGATGGGAGAAGCCTGCACGGGAAAGAGGAGGAGAGACGTCTTAAAATCATGACAGTGCTTCAGCATATCACGCGTAGTTAAAGCGCCTCGTCATTGTCATTTGTTGAGCTGAGAAAAAAAACAAACCCTGCCAGCATTGAACATCTTTGTTTATGTATGTGTGCGCTGCTTTCTCTGTTCTCTTTTTACGGGTGTGTAAGTGGGCGGTTTGGTAAAAGGTGACGCCGCGTACATCTGTGCACCAATCGGGATTTAGAAACATTCGAATAAGACAATCGATGAGTCATGTGTTGCTGCTGCTGCTGCTGCTGCTGCCAGGCCATCGGAGATAAAATCTAATCAAACCGCCGCGCGTACGATGAATCAGAGGTTTTGAGCTTCGGTTAATTTTTTCTATTTGCTTGATCTGTTTGATTGTTGCACAAGAGGAATACTTGAAGGCTCGTCATCGTACAGTCGACCTCTGATGTATTCACACCCGTTAAAGAAGGAAAAAAAATCACTGAAATAAGCTGAAATTGACAACAGAAATAATAAATAAAAATTTTATGAAAATCATGACGTTGCTTTTCAATTGTGGTTCAACAGAAATATTTTAAAAAACAGGCATGATGGGACCCGTAAACTAATATTTAGTTGAACAACCCTCTGAGCCAATCAGGTGTTTCCTGTAACTCTCAGTCAGACTTGTGCACCTGTTGACAGGTATTCTGATTTCACTGCTCATCAGCAAAGTGCTCTCATTAGTCCATGACACTTTTTTTTGTTTTTTTAAATTATTCTTCTCAACCACAATAGAAAATCAAACGTCTCATTTCACTAAATTATAATCTAGCAAATTTTTATTTATTATTACTTTCTTCAGTTTCTAGCTATTTGAGTGTGAATTTTGCCTTTTCTTTAATGGAAGCGTCTGAATACATGTGAGCACGACTGTAGGTCCAAATCAATCAGCTTTGTTTTAAGCTTTCCTGCTGGCAGCACAACCAGCTCTACATATAGTTAAATAGGGGATAAAACAAATGAAATATTGACGTCTGGATTAGTCCGAGGAACCTTTATCTTCTCTCTCAGGGTTTTCTGAAGCCTGTTTCGTTACATGTGAGAGCCACACATAACCCACCTGAACCGCACACGCAGTCAGTAATCAGAAACGAGACGTTCGAACGGCGATGGATCACCTTTGGAAAGTTTTCATGAGCTGAAGACGTAGCGTCGAGGAGCTAATTGTACATTTAGCAGTCCTTTCAAATAAAGCCGAGTAGTGAAAGAAAACGCTACGAGCTCAGCTTTTCATACTCGCCATTCAAACGCCGGCATTCAGTTTGGCTGATCAAACACAAACACACAGCACATGCTGTTTGTTCTTTTTTTCCTTACATTTCGCACCGTGAATGCCGACGACTTGAAAGCGAGCGGGGCCTGTAGGTTTCACAGGCTAATGAAGGCCACCGTCTGCTCATAATGGCAACGTGATTTTCACACGGTTTCAAAAATAGGCATCAATCCTGACCCGTTTTCTCTTCGTTCGCTGCAACGCTCGAGTGCTTACCTTTCAAATGGTTTCCACCAATCGCGTACAGACGATCGTTCATCCCGGCCAGGGCGTGAATGGCGCGCTTTGTGTTCATATCCTGTTTCCGAGCCCACACGTCCATTATGGGGTCGTAGCAGTAGAGCCAGGACACGTACTCTCCATTGTGCACTCCTCCTGCAACAGGTAAACAAGCAGGACGCCGTTAATGCCAAAACACAGCAAGACGGAACCACAATCTTTAACGTCGTTACACAAAACGAAATCGATCCTGTTTAGTTTTAAACTCACAACCCAGAGATGTAAAGGACAGAACATATGTTTGCTGAGCCTGACAATGAACAATGTGAATCAGTCATTTCATAAACAGATTTCTGATCTCATCTCTTATTTTTAACATCACCCGCCGGCTCCATCCAACTTGTCGGCTCCAATTTAAAAAATAAAATAACCCTGTTTTTTAGCTAATAGATCACGATGCGTCAGAGTTAATGGCAGCATCCATTCAAACGCAGGTTTGGCTCAAGGTTGGTTCCCTTTGTTCCCGTCTTTTATATTTATACTGTAATGACTGAAGTACAGATGATTCAGTCGGCTTCGGGGAAAAAAGGAGGATTTCAGTTTATGCCGACTGGCTCGAATGTCACTGAAACAAAAGATATGATTTCAGGTTTCAAGACAAGCAGGAGACGTATTGTATAGACTTTACATTAGTTCTCTATTATATGAGGGTAAATTACACTGAGATGGGTTTAAACATGTCACGGCACTTTTAGTGAATCGAAATGGTACACGAGAAGGAAAAGTGCAGTCGTTTCAGTCCATCCAACTCGACTGACTTTTACACATCAAAGTCTGTTTACAGGTCATGAGGAGAACTGCTGCATAAATGGAAAAAATATACCTTCTATAGCCTTTGGCCGCTTCAGAGAAACCTGCACATTATGTTGGTTAAAACTACACGTGTGAAAATGAAAAACATCTGGAGGTGTCGGACAGAATTAGTCGATTTTTTTTATTTTTTAGGGCGAGCAGCTCAAGGCTATTTTAACACATGTGAATCAGCCCAGTTGCAGAAAGTTTGTGTACTTATTATTCTGATCGATGCTGAACCAACTCTTCTAATTCAAGTTTATTGTGCTTCCTTTATTGCTTTTGCTTAGACCAATGCGAGGTCGCCTATGAAAGCTTCTTCATTAAGCTTCACGTGCTCTGGAGTTGTGTATCTTGTTTGTGTGTTTTGTGGTAAAAGAAGCTTTAAATTAATTAAATAGATGTTTATCCCAGTGTGATCATCTTTTATCTTCTTCAAAAATCCTGTGTATTCTGGATGCAGCACATCTGTCCAGTGACGTACGGCGTGTGTCTGGGCGCCGGCCGGTGTCCTGACCTGATATGTAGATCTTGCCGTTGTGCACCGCGCCTGCATGGGCGGCCAGAGGCTGCGGCAGAGACGACACGTAGTTCCACTCGTTCGTCTCCAGGTTGTAGGACTCGACGCTGGAGAGGTAGCCAGACTCGTTCCTGCCACCGATCACGTACAGGTGCTTATCCAGGCGGCAGGCAAAGAAGCTGGCTCTCCTGAGGAGGAAGTGTCAACCAGACAACATTATTAAAGTAGAAATGACAAGATTTGTTGTTGGCTTTTCCCTTGTCTCGCTTAGCCAGCCCATTCGGTGGTACATAATGGTCTGGCTGCACTTCATTATCATTCTGCTATGAGGGGAGGAGGGGGAAAGAAAACGCTCAGGCTCGTTTGTATTTCTTTAAACTGGTCGTCTTAGGTGGAGCTAAACGAAGGATGCGGGTTCGATGTTTCCTCATTTGATGAAGCACTTGCACGTAGTTACTAGATGATCCAAACCCGCTGCAAAAAGGTTCTGTATGATAGGAAATAAATCAACCAGTGCAAGTGGTCAGAGTAGTGAACGTCCTGACTTTTCATAGGTAGTCATTCATTAACTTCTAATTACTGTAGAGTAAAAGAAAACATTGCACAGGTCTGTATAGAGCCAACTAGAAAGCTTTAGATGTCTAGATAAGGATTGTGTTTCCTTTTCCCAGAAGATGTTCAAGGATTAAACATCGCAGCAAACCCACGAGGACGGCAGGAAAGAGTTGCTGAAGCTGTTGGAGAACGTTGTTGAGTTTTAAGGACACCTCTGATCATGACAGGGTTGTAGCGTATTTGTGCTCACAAAGGAAAAGTTTTATTACTTCATTAAAATGACCCAAAGTGCTGTATTGGATTTATGTAAAATTCAATTCAATTCAATTTTATTTGTATAGCGCATATTTACAACAACAGTCATCTCATAGCGCTTAAAACATTCACAAAAACTGATGCAAAACATAAAGATCAGCATCAAATCTTCACGTCTGAGAAGCAAACCGGAGAATTTTCTGCATATTTGCTTTAAAAGTTCATTAAAATCAACACCTTCTCTGTTAAAGTTCAACTGAAGCTGGTCCTGAACAAACAAAATGTTTGAAGCTGTTGTTTTATGAATTCTGGGTAATTAATACGTGTTAAACTAAAAACCATCACAAACTACCAAAAACGATCAGAACCGCAAAACAGCAAATTCACATCAAGAACTCTGTTTGTAGAAGATTAAATCTGATTTTTTCCTGCGGCTCAATCGGACTTGTTCGTGATTTATTCCAGTTTTCTGCATGTTCACCTTCCAACAGTTCAGGATGAAATTGAAACCTTTTCATTAGTCTGCAGTGTATGAACATTAACCCGTAGGACGACAGATGAAGGAGATATGACCGTCCTGAGATATGACTTTAATCACTTTTGAGTATTTTTTTTCCAATTGACAACTTCAATCCAAAAAAACCCCCAAAAAAACAAAAACAAAGAGAAACCAGCTCACCTCTCCTGCATCGGAGGCAACTGTATCCAACTGTTGAATCTGGGATCATAGCGGCTGACGAAATTAGTGCTGTGCTTTCCTGCCAAAGCAGACAGAAATCAACATAAATAACACAAGTCAGATGATTTAGCTGAGTGACTAATGCCTTTACAGTAATGTGCACTTTAGGCGTACGAAGGCGGCGCTCACTCCTAATCTAAAGTCTTCGCTGCGTACCAATAAAATTCGCGACTGTGCCTTTGCCAAGTCTTCATCAATCACCGCCCACGCGCGCTGATTTTAAGTGTTACTACAATACGCGACGCCTTTCCACTGCCATTAGAGCGAACTCGTGCTGACTGAAGGCTTATTTTTTCCAATCAGGGAGCGATCTTGTTTTGGGGGATAATGTTCAGTTCAAAACAGCTGAAATTGCCTCTGATGATGTGTATTTGGATTCAGCTGATTCTTACTCTCAGAGCTACATAAACACATTTAATTTCCCTACATGCAATTCCCTGCTACTGTACTACTGTACTATTGTGGCAGAAGAACAAAAACACAGTTGTTTTCTTTTGTTTTTTTTTATCATTTACAGCCTTTTGTTTCTTACTATGACACCGTGTTTTACAAAAAAGTACTCCTAACACTTCTACACTGCAAATATTTCAGCGCTAACAACAGTTATTGTTCTGTGCCAATTATTGACAAGTGTTGATTGGAGTGTTGTTTGTCCACTCAGAGCTGATCTGGCTCTAGACTGAGTGCTTCAAACTATCTCAAAGTGTTGCATTAACTCCGATGGGTTTGAACTCGCGTCAACTCCGGCTGAGAGCGATCGTCTAAATTAGGTAAACAATGGAAAACTCGATGTGTGAAACCGCCGGAGAGCTGCTGTACCGTTGGGGTTCCACTGGTCCTCTCCGCCCAGCAGCAGCAGGAAGTTCTCCACCTCCACCACGCAGTGATGTGCGCTGTTGTAAGGCATTACTACGACACACAGAAATCAGGTGTTAGTCACAGTGAGTGAGTTACAGCAGGAGCAGGCAAACGGCACCACGTGAGCAGGAAAGTGTTGAAATGAATGAAAAGGTTACTGCAATCAACAATATAAATAAAAAGGTAATAAGAAAGAAGGTTTTTGGGGGCATGTGTTACAATATGTACAGCCCTGTGCTTAACCCTCATAGCACTGGGTTACAAAAACATACTTTCTTGAAGGTGTCTAGGATTTTTTAAAACTGATTTTTGCAACGCTGAATCCAAACATGACGTCTGCTTTTCTGCATCAGATCAGGTTTTTATGCCAACTCGACTTAAAAAAAATCAATTTTGCCACTAAATCGATGACATTATTTGACATTAGCGATTGATTTATTTTAGTATTTCTCATATGAAATCGGATTGAGAGGAAAAAATTCACTTTCTAATCCTTTTAATAAGCTAAATGATCCACAAGTTGACGAGCATAAACATTTGTAAAAGTTAAAACCATTTGTAAAGGTTAATACGAGTAAATTGCGTGTTTCATCAAATCAACCAGTGTAATATCTGGATTCAGCTCATTGCAGTCGTCCAAAATCAGCTCAAAAAACTTTGACACCAAAATCAGTGTAGACCAGCGTAATCAATACATCAGATACATGATAGTTTAAATTAACTAAGAACCCTCAGTTTGAGTTCCACAGCTGGAGCCTTTTAACTAATATCGGCATAAAAATTTAATATCTGTCAAAATCATCATTGGTTTTTTTTTTGCCTATAATGAAAAAATAATAAAATAATGCCTGGATTTCGTATTTACCGGAGCGCAAATGATGACGACATCAAACTGCGTCATGAAGTGTGTAAACAAGTGTGGCTGCATTAACAAACATATATCGGTATCGGTTCACATCGGAACTAGACAATATCGGCACAGAAGCCAATATCGGACATCCCGACTTTTAACCAGAACAGATTCGTAGCATGAAAGAAACATTTTGTTTTAGTCAACCATAAGTGGAAAGTATTTAAATTGTGTGTTGATAGCCTTTCAGTTGCATATCTAGCTGCAAAGAGCACATGTTCACATAACAGCAGCACAAATTAAGTCTATTCCTAATTGGATAAAGATAATGCTCAACCAACATATAGACTTGTGTCTCAGTCTGGCACAAACCAAAACTCAAAAAACGTCGTCCCCTGGTTTCACCAAGTTGCCGTTCCTGCTCTGGACACCTCATGCTGGTCTTAACGAACCGAGGCTCCTACTCAATGAACATCTACAACACGTTATGTAAACCTGTTAATGAGCAACATCTCTGCCGAGGCTTTTTCCCATTTATGCGTCACGCTGGGGTTCTAAGTGTTCGTAGTAAATATTCATATGGAGGCTGATTCGATTTGCAGCGTCCTCCTCACAACGGGCTAAATATATACGTCTGTGTCGTAATCGTCAGTGTGAGTCAATGTTATGGGATTATTGTTTGGTTTTGTTTTCTTTTTTTTCTTCTACTCACTGCTTTTGTTTTGTAACCTTTTAAACATCCCACGCATGTCCACTGTCAAAGTGGAACAAATTAAACTATCCATCTATCTATCTATCTATCTATCTATCTATCTATCTATCTATCTATCTATCTATCTATCTATCTATCTATCTGATCGAGTAGTTGATTGATGAAATATTTCTTTTTTTAATTTCCATTTAAAACATTTTTTTTCAAAGTAAAAATGACTTTCAAAGGTTCCAGCTCCTCTTGGAGAATCTTCAGACACGGTTCATTTACTTGTGTTTTGAACTGTGATGGACATTTCTCACTATTTTCTGACTTTTATTCGACAATAATTCAAATATCTATTAGTTGCAGGCCTGTATCTGTATAAGATGATGTCTCTGATGCATCTGATGAGGTCAGTAGGTTGTTATTTTGGGAACACAACCTGTTTCCTTTTCTATTCGATTATCGACTAAACAAACACTAACTTCGGTGCACGGTGTTCCTGATCACACATTACGGCGGTGCACGGCTGCAGCGGGACCCCTCGTGTGGGATTTTTTTTTTTTTTCTTTTCCCCCTGTGTATGTATTTGTGCTCCCCTCCTCTCCTCCATCTTCTTTTGCTGAAGTGACCCCATTGAGATGTAGAGAAATGGTCTTAGGTGACAGTCATAATGAACATGATCGTGTTCACTCAATAAATCTCAGGCCCGGTGCTTTTTGAGCACAAATCAGTGAAATGTTAAAGCCCACCTGTCTGTCTCCATCAGTCATTTCCACTGTCACCTCCCCACCGCCTGATGGATCACAGTTGCTGCAAAATTAGACAGCCTTGAATCTCATTTCTTTCCAATTGGCCTCTCCCTGCAATCTCACTCTAGCTGGCTGACATGTGCCGGTCCTCTATGGGAGAGAAGTCTCAGATAGGAACTAATACTACATACACTAAACACAGCTTTATCTCAAACGAGGGGATTAGGTTGCCTGCCTCCAGTGCACCTCAAAGACGAGTGCCATACGACTGCCAAATTCCCTTACATGCTATTTACATTATCATTCAGTCAGCAGTATATAGGACATGGATGGGCGGCTTTTTATTTGATGTCTAGTGAATTGTACTCATACTAAAAATCATCTTGTACCCATGTGAAGAGAAGATTACGGCTTTACAGTACGTCACAGGCTACGGTGTCTGGAGTGCTGTGGGAGGACGTGGGACATTTGGGATACAGGTGAACAGCGGAATAATTAGCAGGCTGTAATAACTGAGACCAGCGTAACCGTCCTGTGCAGAGAGAAATAATAAAATCTTCCACAACGTGTGAAACTTTGCTCTGAATTATCACCTGAGAGAACATTTCAAATTAATCTGGCTATTTGTCCCCTCTCACCTAAATCTGCCCCTAACCCCTGGGGGTGAACAGCCATAGGAGGGCAGGATGAGCACGTCCTCTACGAGATGGACGCCATCACTCTAGTCTACAGTGAGCTCTAGGGCTCACTAGAGGGAGTCAGAAACCTCTGCATAGAGGCACAGTCGGGGTCGGTTGAATGACTCCACAGCTAATGCACCACTGCTGCTCGAGCTCTGATGTGCCTTTAACACCATTACAATTGCATCTCGCTGAGCTGAATTCCTTTGTTCTAAGCCACGCTGCGTGGACGAGGTCCACACCTAAATCTGAGGTATTTCTTAAAAAAAAAATAAAAAAATATCAGGTTGGTTTAAAGAACAGAGAAAGAACAGTGGTCGAGTCTGTGCCTGCCTTTGTCTTGTGCTCGTCCACGCTGCTGTGGGTACACTAGATGGCAAACTTTACACTGGAATCACCGAGCAGGGGGATCTATCTGACACAACGAGAGGGATCAGATTCTCCCCAAATTGTGTTGATGAATGTCTTAATCAAAGACTGTCCCTCTCAGGTTTCGCCTCATTGAAAAGTTATGATTGAATGTTAATAATCTTCTATTCCACATCCATTGTGCGGAGGCTACATCAGACGGTCACTGATGTGTTAAGGGGATGATTTTGCAGTTTTGTCCTTCCACTTGGCCACGGACCATTTGAGTGTTAACTTTTTTAGTTTTGAGTGATGGAAATCCCTGTTGACCTTTTGCTTGTTGCAGTTTATACCCATGAGTGTGAGTTTAATGAGAAAATGACAATATAAACACCAGTGAGCTTCAGGCTGTTGTGTATGCATGCATGCCTCCTTTTAGTAAAAAAAAAAAAAGAAAAAACCCTGATAGTTCTGGACAAACATGAGCTAAAACACCAGACTGCTGCCAAGAGCTGCTATGATTTGAGCAGAGGGATAGAAAAAAAAAAAA